CCCCCCCCCCCCCCCCCCCCCCCCCCCCCCCCCCCCCCCCCCCAAGGACAGAAAGGCTAAGTCCGCTAGGACTGCCCAGCCCATGGAGCCGCCATGGAAACCAGAGAGCGGTGTCTGACTGTTCCATGCCTTACCTTACGGGAGGAGTAGACGGGGGGGGAGGTATTACTAAGTAATAGTAATATCGGGTGCGTTGTGGATTTCGTAGCCTCAGGTTCAACGTATCGGCTACGCCGTCGTACGAGTGCGAAGACCATCACCGTACGTGCGCGGAGCATATTACGACGCACACGCACACGCACACAAACACTCCCCCCGATGCAGATCCTTACGTCGTACGTCGTACGAGTACATTCGACACGCATCCGAGGGTATGGAGTATCACTACTCGTGCCGGAACAGAAGTGTATTGCGTCCCGAAATCACACAAACGCCCTTATTCTCTCCTGCCTCGCACGCCTTCTCCAGCTTTCGGGCCATCTCCGTCTCCCTCTCCACTGGGGGGCCGAAAAGGAACGCACGTACACACACCACCCAGGGTCCTACATATATATTATTCCGCTCGTAGCTTTGGTTCCACTCTGCGGACTGTCCTGACGGTGTGCAGTCGTAATACGGTGTATGGCCACGCTTATTGCTGGATAGGAGCAGGCCCGGTACAATGCTAATAAAGGCTATTGCTCATTTGCCTTCATCTGGCTCGTAGCTCTCCCCGTGGAGTGTGGTGCTTTGATCCATCTCGTCCATGCGCACCCTGACCATCACCTTTACCTGTGCGGGTGCTACTTGCCTCGGGTCCCCTGCATTCCGGTCTGCTTTGTGTCGTGGTTGCCGACTGCGAGCAAAAATATGAAGAATAGAAGGCTCCCTCTATATAACTATGGTATGCATCGTAATATCATGATATCTGACATGACTCTCGTCTGACTCATCGCTCCGCTCGCTTCCCTTCTCATCCTCTCCTTCGTCTCCGTCGACTCCTCCTTGGCTTCTCTTTGCGTCGTCCTCTCTCCCTTCATTCTTCACTTCAGCACCCGATCGTACGTCTGCCCCTTGACCAGACCACCGCCCATCGACGTCCTGACATTACGCTTGAATCCGTCTCTGTTGTTTCGGAGGTCGTCGGCAGCTTCCTTGTTGAGGGGGTCAGAAGCATTAGGCTCGAGAAAGAGGAACTGTGTTTGTGTGTGTGTCTGTGTCAGCCGCTTAGAAGAAGAGAGGGGGAGAGTGTGGTGATATGTACCTGAAGTCCAACAATGACAGCATTCAGATTGAGAACAGGCTTCCAGTCTTCCCTCAGGATATTGAGGCAGACCTTCCCCTCCAGGTCGATGTTGGGATGGTAGATCTTCTCTCGACATCGCACTTTCGGCGGGTCGTGCGGGAAGTTTTGGTTGATGTTGAAGTCGAAGGTGAACCGGCCCTGCTTATACATCCCCTCGTCCGGTTCGATGGTCAGGACAAAGTTGAGGATGTCGTCTGGGTTTGGGAACGTAGTCTCCATTGTTGAACCGAGGGAGAGTTCAGAGAGGTCTAGTGTGTCCATGTCAGTTTTCTGTTCCTCTCATCCTGTTCGTCTCTCTCTTATTTTGAAAGAGAGAGAGAGAGAGAGAGAGAGAGAGAGAGAGAGAGAGAGAGAGAGAGNCTAGTGTGTCCATGTCAGTTTTCTGTTCCTCTCATCCTGTTCGTCTCTCTCTTATTTTGAAAGAGAGAGAGAGAGAGAGAGAGAGAGAGAGAGAGGGGGGGAGAGAGGAAGAGGGAGGGAGAGAGCTTCATACCCTTTTGAACTCGCAACTGCGCAGCCGTCACCTTCTTCTTCTTCCCACCAGCTGCTTGGCCTTCTGCGTTCTCTGCATCCTTTTGTTCTTTTTTCTGTCAAACATGTCAGACTTTTCCCCCTCCATTCTCTTCTTCTTCTCCCTTCTTCTTCGAGTCTACGCTTCCCATTTCATGCTCACCATAGACCATATCTTCAGCATTATGACGGTTTGCGCGCGTGGGCGGAGGGGAGAGGATCGCGGGGTCGTTTGTGCTCAGCTCGGTAGTTTGGAGAGGGGGGAGGGGGAAGGTAATCTCGAGTACTTTGATAGTTCGGGTTTGTTTTTCTTGCCCCGTTGAAGATGGTTTAGATGAAGAAGAAGAAGTAGAAAAAAAAGAAGAAGAAGAAGAAAAAGGAAAATGTCCCAAGACGAGAAAGGATCGCACTGCCTGATGTGTCGTTGTAGTCAGAATGCTTTTCTCATTCACGCCTAGTGTTTCGCCCAAACCATGACTTTTGCTAGCCCATCCGGCCCCGCCACCTTGATAAGATAAAAAAAAAGGATCAACTCGTACGAAGTAGGGGGGGGTAAAGATCCGGGGTTTCACCGACTTGACTACCGTCAACGTCTAGCGTAGTGAGCACTGAGTATCACACTGTATCACGTTATCACGTAATCGTGGCGGCAATCATCGTTATAAATCGTTATAACAAGGCATCCAGTCCAACCTTACCATTGCCGTTGAGAAAATACGGCATCATGTACGTGGTTACGATTCAACATCGTCATCACCGTTATACCAAGCCAACTTTTTTATATAGGAGTAAGTCACAAAAAAGTAGTGATATGCCATTTGAAGAAAAGAAGAAAAAAAACATCGCAAATTAAATAGCTAACAAGACATTGAAGAAAGAAGAGATGAAAAGGAGAGAAAATAAAAGAGTAAAAATACCAGGTGGAAAAAAAAACACAGCAGGTAAAAATAAAAAAACACATCCCCCACTAGTTCGGGATATTTCCGCAAAAGAAAACAAGACAAAAAAAAGCAACTTTTCCCAATAGTTTACACAACAAATATTGTACCAGAGGGGGGTCTCTTCTCAAATCTGGCTGGCAGATTCGCCCCAAGCAAACCACCGTATTTTCCTTTTTTTTCTTCTTCCTTCTCTTGTCCTGTAACAGTATATTTTCTCCATGTGCATCGTAAGAGTCATCCCTGACATCTTCCTTACCTCCTGGCAAAGCAGCACATAAGACCAGTGTTACCCAGGAACCAGAGGAAACCGATGAAGCGGACCAAGGAAAGCAGGGCGGTTGCGTAGAGGAGGAACTTGAAGAAGTTGGCGGTACGGGTGGACGAGGTGCTCTGCGATGTTTTGTCAGTATCTCTGCTGTGGGAGAGGGTGGAGGATGAGCGTGAGAGAGGGCACTTACACCGAGACCGAGCGCATCAAAATTGTCGCTGGTAATGGCGATAATGAGGAAGAGGTTGGAAAAGAGCCAGGTGATGACGAGGCCGGTACGGAAAGACTTGTACGAGTCCTCAATGTCCTTTTTCTCAATCTCCTCAACTTCCTTGAAGGGAGCCAGGGCACGGCGGACAGTCTGCTCGAACTGGCTGTCGATGTCCTCCTGCTCCTTTTCAATCTCCTCGACAACCACCTCGTTCTTCTCGCTCTTCGTCACCGTGGCCGAGGGGAGGGCCTCGGCCTTGTCGGATCCCTTGGTACCCCACGACACGTCGTGCCAGTTGTTGAAGGCGTAGATCATGAGGATGTTGATGTACGTCGACATGAGGACCAGGTACTGCGGGAAGGAGTGGAACATGTGCCACGGGTCCAGGTACAAGATGGAGGCGAGGAAGTTGAGACCGTAGATGGTGATGAGGGCGATGATGATGACACCGCCGGCGCCGCTGCCGCCGAAGAAGCTTTCCCACACGGCCTCGCCCGACTCGAACGAGATCTGGCTCTCGATGGGCGTCTTGCTGAAGGCGTTCGCGACCAAGTAGAAGGACAGGACCAGGATGTAACTCTGGACCAGGCCGAAGACCATGAACGAGGCGAGGTAGGTAAAGCGGGATCCCTTGGGGCGGTTACCCAGAGCCAGGATGAACTGCAGCATGATGAAGGCGAGGTACAGGTACTTGAGGATGGAGTTGATGACGGGCGTGGCCGTGTCGCCAAAGGGGAAGCCGTGGTTCTCCGAGCTGTTAGACCCGGGGATCGACGGCGTACCCACAATGTCCATGATGACGCTCGTCGTCAGGTAATACGAGGCCAGCGAGAACCAGGAGAACATGGTGTTGAGGAAGTTGTAGATCTCCTGGATGTGGAAGAAGAACATGCGGACGAAGTTGTGACCAGACTTGTACATGCGGCCAAAGTGCATCAGCGAGTAGAGCGTGGCGGCGAAGGAACCGTTCAGCCAGCGACGACGCTGTCCGATGAACTCGGCGGCACCTTCGGGAACGTCGGTCTCACCCTTGGCGGCCTTGATGTAGCCCAGGTGCCACTTCTGGCCGGCCTTGGCGACGACCTCGAAACAGAGGATACGATCTTCGGCCAGGAACATGTTCTTCTTGAAGATGTTCATGCCGTCGATACCCTTCTTGCCCAGCACCTTGGAAAGGGTGTGGTCACCGTGGAAGTACTGCTCAAGAGGGCGGCCCATGATGGCGCGGAAGCGGTAGGCCGAGAAGGCACCGGGCAGCACGGTGACGTATCCGAACGACGACTCGAGGGGCTTGTCGAGGATGTTGGAGATCTTGTACTCAAAGTTCTGGATGGCGACGAGGGGGTTGAGGAGCTTCTTGCCCCCCTTGCCCAGCATGGCGTGGATCTCACCGCAAGCACCTCCCAGGTCCTTGTCGTTGTAGAAACCCTCCCAGAGGGCGAGCAGGGAGCGGGGGCTAGGCTTGGTGCCGGCATCGAGCAGCAGGCAGACCTCGGGGTTGAGGATGCGACCAAAGGCGTTGAAGAGCCAACGGTGAGAGTTGATCTTCTTCGTGTTCTTCTGCTTGAGACAGAAGATGAACTGGACAGGGGGCAGGTTGTTGGTGCTGTCTTCGGTAGGGCGGATGAGCTGCTGGCTGGGGGTGACGGACAGCTGGCTGGTGTACTCGAAGATGTGAGCGACGGTCTCCTTGCCGTCGACATCCTTCTTGATGACACCGTCCTGGTAGATGCCGACGGTGGCGAGCACGTCGAGGACGTTCTTGTCGACCTTGTCGATACCGTCGAAGACGAGGCAGACGACAATCTTCTGCCAGGCGGGGCCTCCCTTGTTCCAGAAGGTCGACTTCTTGAGGTTGACAATATCGCGGATATTCTGCATGACACCGTGGAGGGTTCTGCTCAGCAGGACCTTGTCCTCGTTGTAGTAGGTGATGGCGATGAGCAGCTCAGTGTGCCTGTTGTACATCCGGGGTCGCAGATCGTAGCCGTTCTTGAGGGTGAAGTCGTTGGGGTCGCAGGTGGCGGCAGTGTAGCGCATCTTCATGAACTCCTCGTTGCCGCCCTCGAGGTCGCGGTAGCGCGCCTGGACGGCGTTCTTGATGGCGCTGGGGACGGGGTAGTCGATGCTCAGGACGGAGCCCTGGACAAGCTTGATCTTTCGGGTGTTGAAGCGCTTCAGACCGGTCCTGGAGCCGGACGTGTTGGGCATCTGCTGACGTTCCATCCAGCTGTCCTCGTCATCGTCCTCCATGGTAGACATGGGACGAGGCGTGCTGAAGCCGGCGGCGTTGGGGTCCAGGCCGTACTGACCGTAGCCCCCGGCATCGCTGAAGCCAGACCCGGGGGGGGGCATCTCAGCGGCTCCGGGAGCGTACGACTCTGTGAGGCTGTAGGCGGACACGGGGCGGTCAGGGGGCGTGGCGGCACCCAGCCTGCCTTGGTCGTAACCGGGGGCCGGGCGGTCGTTGAGGAGGTAGCGGCCAGCCTCTTCCTCCTGCTCCTGAGGGGGAAGGTGATACTGATGTTGAGGAAGGCGAGGCTGTCAATACAAGAGGCGGGAATGGTACGGAGAATGGCTCTGTCCGTGGTAGCTCGATGGCGGAAAAAACTTACGGTGCTTCCTGAAGGGAGGTCCTGCATGGGATGACCCCCATAGGGGCTCTGGCCATTGCCCTGGCCGTTGTATGCCATTATTGCTATGTGCGACGACTAGACGCTCGTGCACCTATAAATATCGCGATATCGTGGTGATGCAGTCGGCTAGAAATAGAAAAATAGGGGCGGAGGTGTAGATGGCTCGAAATAGAAAACAAGTAGGGGGACGACGGTCTGCTAGCGAGAGAGCCAGCTGATGGAAAATCGTGGGGCAGGCCAAGCAAGCCAAGCAAGGGCCAGATCAAGGAGAAGGGCGGGAAAGGGATGGTGTGAGTGTCTCTCGTCTCTAGTGGCACGCGGTAGGGAGACGCGCTCTAGGACTAGTTGGGAGCAAGGAGGATGCGAAGATGAGGAAAAAGAAAACAGCAGCCACGCATTCAACAGTAACGAAGGGAAGGGGGGGAGAATAAGGGGAATAAGAGAACAAAAAAAAGAAAAAGAACAGATGGATGAAAGGGACATACAGGTTTGACAAGGGTCAAGTGCGGATGGGATGTGGGCGAGAGAAAAGGGTTCACGTCTCTCGAAATGGGGGGGCTTTCTTCTTTTTTTTTCCCCCCCAGGCTCTTTACCAGCCGTTTCAGCAGGCTGGGGACGAAGAAATACATACGTTGCGCCCTGGCACTAGCGGGGACGCTGAGCCACAAAGGCACCTAAACGACGTGATGCCGGCCACTGGGTATTACTAGCGGAGACACCTGATGGACCATGGAAAGGGGGCACCCGAGGATCTGCCCGTACCTTTTTTCTATGAGAATTTCAGTATTACTATCATAAATTTATAGTACTCGTGCATGTATCCCTACGGAGCAATATGTACCTAGATGTACGAGTAGAGAGAGAGGATTGCCTACTAGTACGACTACGCCACGAGTAGCCTGTGCAGCCTGTGCAGCGTGCCTGTGTGGGCATGCTTCATACTCTGTAATGCAGAGCTCACTGCCCCCCACCCCCTGCACCTGCTGCTGTCTTGTCTGTTTACTGGCCACATGGCCTGTTCCAAAGTACGGACTTGCCTCTAAGCTGAGCCACACTTGACGCATCTCTTGCCTTCCACTCTCTGCTCCATCCTGCTCAGTGTCTTGAAAAGCAGCCCCTTTGCGGCCTCCACTATAACTGTCTATGAGTACGGAGTGGTAGTACCTGAGATATATCAACAAGACCACCACCGCCGACCCCCTTGACGAATGATGCCCAACGGAACGACGTGCCATCAAATGGTTCTCTGTCTCTGAGCAAGAGCGAACCGGGATTGCGAAGAAAAGGAAGAAGGAGGAGGGAGAGAAACCAGGAGAGAGAGAGAGCCTGCGAGTACATGCTGACTACTCAATTTGGTAGGATTATTCCTGCAGCATCCCGCCCTGCAGGGGGAGGGGGTATTGGAAAAGGAAAAGAGAGAGAGAGAGAGGAAGAAGAGGAAAAGACTACGCGTACGAGTGTGACCTGTGTACTCGTACCAGCGGGCATGCCGTCGATACGTTATTAATACAAAGGATCAGCGGTGTCGTTGTTAGCCCCAGCGCGGGCATCTTGCCCCCCTTGTCACTCTCCCAAGGGCCCATGGGAGCGCAACAGCCAGGCCAAGACTTTAATACAACGAAACCCGGCACTTGTAAAGGTTGCGGTGCTCTCTGCTCAAGTTATTACCAGCCACATGAAAACGCACATGAGGCGGGACGCAAAAAGAATATTAAAAAAAAACACGTCGGCTCTTTCTGATTTTTGATACCCTTTCCCTGAATAATCACCTGGTTCGGCAGAGATTCATATCGAGAAACCGCCGTTTGAGGCGTCGCGGTACAGACCGACATAACGGGGCGGGAACGAAGATGAAAGGGTAAAAAAAAGAAGGCGTTGAGAACCGCCACCCCGATGGCCCCTGACAAGAGCCAACACCAACGAGTGGGCTCTATGGGGAGGGTCCGCGCCAAAAATAGCAACAGCCATTTACGGGGCGACACGAGGGCCATAATATTACGAGTATTACGGAGTAATACACCTACAAAACTCCGTAATACAGAGAGAGGGCCTCTTATGCGGAGAGGCTCGTATCAACGGCAACAGAGTAAGATTGCCTGATACAACTCCGTTGGCGACGATGGCACTCGTATAATTCGGATGATCTACGGAGTACATCTGTACATAATATTGCAAACTAACATGCGCTCGACGGAGTACATACTCATACTACTACTGCTCCGTACTCCGGCTTCTATCAATCTCCTACCACGAGTTTTCGGGTGGTGATATAATAAATAGTCAATGGTCCCCGCCGAGCGACGAAGACATATCTCTTCATTCGCCAACCATCTGCTGCGCGCCGTAGAGACTCTCTGCTCCTGTACCGTAGCTGGGGCAATATGCGCTCGGGCTATGATGGATTCACGCTACCTTGGAATGCACATGTGCCCCCCCCCCCCCCTCCCCCTTCCCCTCCTAACTAACGAATACAAGTATATACATACGGCTCGCGCGCTCTGAAAACCTGCCTCGCGCACGCGTATTCAGTACAGTGCCTCATGCCGGTATGGAAGTGTGCAATGGAACAGCTGCTCCCACCAACCCGTTCCCGCCTCATGGTCCCCTCCCCCTCATCCCGATTCACTAGTGAGCAACCTTCCGATTACACCGAAGCTACGTAAGGCCATATTTCCAAGGGGAAAAGCCACTGTGTTGACGTGCTCCTACCTGGCCGAACGTGATCGCGCTACAGGGCCAAGACCAACCTCGTACGCCATCTGAACAAACATCAGGGCTGCGTGGAATGCTCTCCTCATTCATGGCTGGCATCGCCACCCTGCTCGCAAACGCAGCATTGCATCCGATCTTTCCTCTTTCTCTTTTTCTTTCAATACTATGCCCCTCAACGATGTATTGCTCTGTCTGGGATACGATCAGGTTTTTTTTTTTTTTTGGCGGCTCCACCGACCATCTATCTACCATACGGAGTATTACATAATACGGTATGGGTCGCCCTTCAGAGCTCCTCGTACAACTGATGCAGAAGATTGAATATCGGGATAGTTACCGTGATACGACGTATGGTTATTCCCCAGCACCGGTGGCACCGTCGCTGCTTATATTTCGTTCGAACTTACCTTAATGCTGTGCAGTTACTATGTTGAAGGAAGAGACGGGAAGACGCGGTGGCCCGGTGGGCGAATCAATCACCGCTCGGCTAATGGGTTCTGCTATGGGATAATACCGACGGTGAGATAGTGTGATTATTACGGTGAGATTAATATCGTCCTTTTCTTCCATTCTTCATCTTCATACGGCGTGGCTGCCGGGTGTCAGCTCACTCGGTTGCTCTCAACCTTTAATCCCCCCCAAGCTTGGCCTTGGTTCGAATCCGTGGCGTGATTCGTCCATGGGAGTAAATTAAACCCCAGGAGCCTCACGTCTACCACTTCATGCCGAATTCATAGGTTGCACGGTATTACGCTGCAAGGTACGTATTCGCAGCAGGCCAGCAAGCAAAAGAGACCCTTCTGCCTACCATCCTGATCCTCTCTCCCTCTTCTTCCCCGTCCATCTGCGGCGGCGGTTGGCTGACGTCGGTGACTCGGTGCCCTACCACCCATCGCTATGTGCCACCACCCATCGCTATGTGCCGGCACCCCTTGCGCTCTGTACTATGGGAGGGGAGGTGGATGAGGATTCCAGTCGTGGGCTTGTCCGAGGTCACTGCGCGTACGAGTACGGAGTACAGACGCAACATCCATACCTACGTGGTACACGCGTACGCATTGATCGGGCAGACCACGGAAGTCTCCGGTTGGACCCACGCGATCCGGTAAAGAAAGGACTCTCCTCCTCTCTCCCTGTTCGTCACCAAGGCGGTTGAAGGAGAGGCTCGGAGAAGGGGAAGGTGGTAGGATCCAGGTACGAGCTACAAAGGGCAGGTCTGGTGGCACAGTGTGAGATGGAATATCCTCAGAAGGAATGTAATGAGGGGCAGCATGGGTATAGACATGTGCATGCTGTGCGGAATCCGACCCCTCTCCTTCTCTCCCTCCCATTCTAGGCGGCAGTCTGATGCTGTACAGGTGAGCGGTAGCCTATAATACGGTACGGAGCGCTCTATTGCTTAGAGCGGGAGGGAAGAGTGCTGGCATGGTGCATGGTAATAGTGGTAGGGAACTTGCCAAGCTGCTGCTAATAGCAGGTTTAAGCCTCCCCCTGGTCGATGCATTATTAGCTGCCATTTCCGTGTGTTGGTTCCTGCTGCACATCTCGCTGATCGAAGATCCCCCCCCCCTCCCACATCACTCGTACCAGCAGCTTCATGCCCTGTGATGATACTCTGTACAGATTATACATGTCTCGGAGTATTGGTGACGATGCTGGGTAGTATGGCATACTGTAGATGAAATCGTCCCTCTCCACCTTGCTCCGCGTCAGTCAGGCACGAGCCAAAAGGTGCTATCCCGTACAATCGTTGCCTCGGTGCCTTGTTCCTGCATTGCCTACCGGGATACTAGTAATAGTACGCGCGTTATGCGTGGTCGTAAAACGTAGGGCTCTGTCAGGTTGTACATGTAAGAGAACGGGTACGGATATCGAAAGCATCCTTACTGGTAAGATTACCAGTATTGGATACTCCGTACAGTTGCCTGCGCTACTCCTGCCGTACACGGTACACGTGCCCGTACATTCAGGTACTTGCGGACTGCAGTAATGATGACCGCTCCCCGTCGCAGGGATCGTGCACGGTGCGAAATCATCCTCCAGTCTACTGTCCCGTAGATTTGTTTCGCCTGCACCGAATCGTCTTAGCGGCTCACAGCCAGTCCCCAGCGGTCCACCGTGGCCAGTCCACCGCGGCCAGAATCGGTGGCCCTGGAGATTCCACCATGACGGGGGCGAGATACTGTATTCGTACGTACCCGTACCCTGCGCATATACTGCACAGCAGTAGTCCCCAACCTGCCAAACTTGGGAAGGAAGGCCTGAAAGCGTTGGAAGCCGGGTGCCAGCCAGTCGATGCAAGCGCCCGCCCTCCACCAGACCAGCAGTGACCACCCTCCCACGCAAATCCAGGCTCCCTCCTTTCCCTCTTCGCGTGTGCGTGCCCACCTTGACTTCTTGGCTTGTCGATTCTAGGCCTCTCGCCCTCCTCCATTCGCTTCGTCCCCCCCCCGACGGCCTCACCAACTATCTTACAGTTTCCTTTCGACAACGCCCTGGTCGGTTGCGTCGCTTCATCTCGATTCTCCCTCTGACGCGCTCGTTTTCTTCTGCTTTCTTTCCTTCGCTTTTCTCCGAGCTAGTCTCGGAATCCACTCGTTTCACCGTTGTAGCACGCCGCGACAGATCAGACCTATCCGACATTTGATTACCCATCATCCTGACGCCTCGGTCCCGTTTCCTCTCTCTCACTCTCTCTCTCTCTCGCTTTCCGCCCACATCTCCCTGGACGAAGCACCTCTTGGCACTATATCGACCGCCCACGTCCCGATATACAGTATATCACGCGAGAGCCCGTCGTCATCCGGAACCCCCGACGCGGTTGCTCTGATCGCCGCCCGACGAACTCCATCCATATATAGAGAGACCACGGGGTGTCACTCGTCGGCTGAAGTCATAGTAGAGCCGACAGTATGGAACCCCTTCGCTTCTACACCCGCGACCTGGCTGAGTTGGATCAAGGTGCGTGCTGCCCCCTCCTACCGACGGTCGTGTCTCGCTGTTCATGTAAAGCTAACCGTCTAGCCTCCAGTGATATCACTGTTCCCTCGCGACTGTGTCCGGTGTGACTCCACCTCGCAGCTCTCGTGTCCGTCGTGCGCCGAGGGCCAAGCCTGCCAGTTCACCGTACCCACAGACTGCAGCGAGTGCGCCCAGGCCGTCTGCGTCGACGCCCCCGACGCCTCCGGCGACAGTTCTTCCGACAGCAGCCAGGACGGCAGCGGCGGCGGCAAAGACGGCGGTGGCGGTGGTGGCCCGAACGCGGGTGCCATCGCCGGCGGTGTCGTCGGCGGCGTCGTCGTCCTGGCCCTCCTGACGTACCTGGCCTGGAGGTTCCTCATCAAGCCCAAGCGATCCGAGGAGGCCGCCCGCCAGTCAGCCTACAGCGGCCGCGCCACGAACCCGACCGAGAGCTCGGAAAAGGATGGCGCCTTGAGGCTGACGCGCCGCTCATCGACACACACCGTGCACTCGATTGCCTCGACCGTCCTCACCCGAGCCTCCAACATCATCCAGATTGCCTACATCCCCGGCGTCACCAACCGCGCCCACAACCAGTCGTCGGGCGGCATGCTCGTGCCTCCGGTCCCGCCCATCCCCATGGAGCACGCCGGCAGCGGCAGCAACAGCCCTGCCAACGACGACCAGCACTTCTTCGTCCCCGGCGACCTGCGCGACTCGACTTACTCGGGCCTCTCGGGCTACTCGGACCGCGCATCGTACGCCACGCACGCGTCGTACGCGCCCCGCTCCAGCATCGCCTCGACGATCTACGGAAAGCAGGCCCAGGTCATGACGCCGGCGTCGACGGGGATGCGCGCCAAGCCGACCATGGTCAGCGTCAAGTCGCTGGGCGTGTCCAACGGCAACGCGCCGCCGGTCCCCGACGTCGACTACGACAAGTTCGGCGCCAACCGGCCGCAGAGCGTCGCCAGCAACTTCAGCGTCGGCTCCACGTTCCTCAACACGGCCACCCAGACGCGCGCGCAGGTGGTCAAGGTGGGCGGCGGCCTCCGTCAGGTGCAGATCGCCGGCAAGTCGGACTCGTCGGCCAAGACGGCCGGCACCGGCTCCTCATCGGACAGCAACTCGGACACGGGAGCGTCGTCGGACTCGGAGTCGACGACGCCCACCGGTCCCAAACCCGCGCTGCCCAAGCTAACGATCAACAACTCGCCATTCCTGGACCCGGCCGACGACGCCGTGTCGCCTACGGCCCCTCCCACCAAGTCGGGAAGCAACGTCGGCCTAGGTGCCGTGGTCGAGGAGGCCGAGGATGAGGAGGATGCGGGTGGTGACGGAAAGGACAAGCGACCGACATCTACGGAGAGGGGGCCCAGTCCCTTTGGTGATGAGCATGCCACCAAGTAACGACATTAGCGAATTTCTTCTTCTTTCTCCTCTTTCTTACGCTCTTTCTTTTTTTCCTTTTCCAACTCTTCATCTTCTTTTTGTCCTTTCAAATCTTTCAATTTTTTTTCTTCATCCTCGTCAGACATGACCCCCCCTTCTTATTCTCTACCCTCATCCGTGCTTGGAGTTGTCCAATCTACAAATTCTGATGGATTACGCGCGCTCGATACCTTTTTTTTTTTGTTCTATGTATATATATATGTCATTGTCGGTGGTGAGGGGGGGTTTCTCCTGATGTCTGATGTTTGTTCTAGATGTTGGTCCTCGGACTTGAACGGCTTAGATCTCTTGATGTCTGATCTAGATCTTGGTCCTTGAACTTGGACAGCATAGATCTTCCTTTGGATTGTCTTCGAAATCTCAGCCTGGAACGTCTCCCCCCCCCGGCCCACCCCTCCCCTGGATTATAACATCTCGTCTTTTCTGGACAAATGGGCTACGGCGTCTTATTCTAGGTACAAAAAAAAACCCATGTTCCTTCGATATTGCGTATAGCCGATGAAATATTTGTACGTTTTGGATGAGAGTCGTGACTCTTCAGCTGGTGACTTGTAATGCATGACCTGGCCATTGTGTCGCTTGCTATCTCTCGAGTCTGCCTTATATATACTTGGTATAGATACTGGCACTGTTACGTCCTCGAGTGATACGTATAAATGTAAACATCAGATGTTGTTCCCGTGCCGCGCCATACTTGGGGTTACTACTCCTCTACAAGTATATGCACACATGGAGTCAATCAGGAAGAAATTTTTTTCAAAAATATTCAAAAAAAAAAAAAAAAAAAAAAAAAAAAAAAAAAAAAAAAAAAAAAAA